GTGGTGCGTTCCAGCCTACAGCCCTGCGCGCTATGGCTGAAGGGGCGCCGGTGACAGGCCGAGATTTAAAAAGACCGACAAACCAGCACACTTCTTAGCACGTTATACACATCAACACTGTCACCTGTACGGACTAGACATTAGAAAGGAAGCTGGCCTGGCTGCTGGAGCCTCTGTCACTGGGTGCACTGACCAGGTGACAGAGTGGCAGCAGAGCAGAGGGCGAAAGCGTCCTCTCTGGAGCCGTCGCCCTGGGTTCAAACCCAAGCCCCACCAATTACTCACTGTGTGACCTTAGGCAAATTCTGTGATCTCTCAGTGGCTGAGCTGCCACTCATGTAACAGGAAGATAATGACAGTCCATGTCTCAAGTAAGGATTGATTGCGACAATGTATGCAAAGCACTACATCACTGCCTGCCGCTGCAGTGAGTACTCAGGAGCACGGGTAGTTATCAGTATGATGATGGAGGGGACACGAACCTGGAATGGCAGTGCACTCGGGTGGTTCTGTCCACAGGGGCTGCGGTAGACAGCCCCCAGGACATCTTAGGCCTTGTCCTGCAGAGCAAGAAAAGCCAGCCACGTTTTCTGTGTATCTGAAGCCACGCCAATGCGCGGGCCCTGCAGGGTGTGCAATGTCTCAGCGTGCACACGGAGATCGTTCCAGCCAGTCCTGACATTTTTCTACACCGCTCTGTGTGTGTGGTGCTGGGAGGGACTCGGATGAAGGACAAGGCAAAGCTCTGTGCACAGCACACACGAAGACGACCTGGAGATGCTTCGCACACCCAGGAAATGCAGCTGCCTCTTTTTAGGGTCTGATGTGAGAGGGAACTGAATGTGCGAGGAGCAGCTAGGATGCAAAGATGAGTAAGAACCCATGTTGACTTTCAAGTTCACAATTAGCAGAGGGATAAAGTGAGGACAAGATCCAAGGCCAAGTGAGTTACATGCTATTGAAGCAGCGCAGACCCACTGTTACCGAGTCTCCGAAGAGGCAACACCAGCCAAGACATACTCTGTTGGACTCTGAAATGCATTCTATCGGTAACCGGAGAGCAGCACAGCCCAGACGCATCTCACAGATACTCACGGGGCATCCACCTGTTGCCAGGTGCTCTTCCAGGTGCTGGGATAAGTCCCCGCCCTGTGTGGCTGCCATTCTAGAGGGAAAAAATACAACAGACAAAGAAGCCCCAAAGTATGTCCACACGCATATTTACACACACATATGTCAGGGTTGTTAATTATTATAAAGAAATATAAAACAAGTAAAAGGTTAAGAGTGACAGAGGTGCTATGTAACACGTTGCTAATTATGAGGGAAAAGCAAAAACTGCAAGAGAAGTTAGAGAAGGTGATGAATAAGTGTGGACTGAAGGCATCATGGGAAAATCCTCTTCCTCGGTAGAGAGAGTAGAGCGTGGCCAGGGGAAAGGAGGGGCCATTGGGGAGAGGTGGACTCCAGCAGTCGGGGGGCAGGGGCCAGTTTTCTGGATCACAGGTATGGCCTGCAACTGCTCTGCCCCACACTCGGAGGGCAGGAAGAGACTGAACGAAAACACAGACCCCTCCAGACTGGTGATGGCGGGTTCCACAACCAAGAGAACTTACGTATGAAGCTTGTCTTGGCCACAGGATAAGTAGTTTTCCACACCCACCTGCCAAATCTTAAAAGTTTCTATAAAGGCTGTCACTTGGGGCCAGTCACGTAGCCAGGCCAGAAGTTCTCCGCACCACATTCCGATCTCAAGGCTGTGTCCTTGGGCAGTCTCTGTGCAGGGAAGGCAAACAGCGTACATTCCAGGCACAGGGGAGGCGGTGGGGAACTTCCTCTGGCTGCTCAGATCCAGCTCTCAGTCAAACCAGCAGTCACATCTTCTTGACCTTCCCCAACAAGGTGACCAACAGATCTGAAGCCGGAGGTGCTGGGCCTGGTGTGGAACCACACAGGTCGTCAGGGGTAAATGCCAAGTGCTATATTTTCATTTCAGCTGAGCCTGGTGACATCAAAACCCCTTCTCTTCTCACTGCTTGTCATAAACCCCCCTACGTGTGCCCCTTTCCGTGGGCACTGTGTCAGCACGCTTCCATGCTGCAAGTGCTCCCCCTGCCAGCCTGCGCTTGTCTGTGTTTCGGGGGGGCTGACCATCACTGCCGCGGTGGCTGGGGTTGGGGGACACCTGGCCACACAGGAAGGAGGAAGGGGCCTGAGAAGTGGGGGTAGCCAGGCTGGGGAAGGGGCCACTGCCAGCACAGCTGTTCGTCCACGTCCGGGCCTCGTTTGACCGCTTCCTCCTCCCATGGTCACCCCTGGGGGCCAGTGTGCGCCCCTCGGCAGTCTTCCCCACTCCCTCGTTGCCTCCAAGTTCTGTGGGTCAAGCAACTTGGAGAGTTTAAGGAGGACCGTTCTCACCTTGAGCTTCTTGGAAGGGCTCAGAGGGCTTTTCTAAGACTTGTGCCTGTATTTCTGTGGGTTGAGGTGGCTGAAATTCTGAAGGGCAGCACAGAACATTCCATGTGAAGTGTATGTAATTCCTTCGTGTAAAACCAAAAGGCCAGGCATCACAGAAACTTGCCTGGCGTGCAAACTCAAAGGAGGCAGTCTAGTCCAGGAAATGTGTAAGACATGTTACTTTAAAAAATTCATTATTATTATTAGTTTGTGATCAGGTCAGCCTGAAAGTCAACATCTCTGAAAGTTTCACTAGAACTGAGTCATTTCACGTTAGCCACCAGCACATGCTATGTCCCATTGACATAAAACTGTTGTTCAGGGGATTTTTAGTTCACTTATTCAATAAATATACTGCGCACCCAATATGTGCTAAGTCCAGTGCTCCATGCTAGGGATTCAGAGGACGGTGAGCTAGGTGAACCCTTGCCCCCCTGCACAGGCCGCGCTTTTTTTCCAGTTTCTTGAGAGGGTTTCTCCTCTGGCGATGCTGCGAGAACCCTGTGGTTGTCAGTTCCCTCTGAGGCCCTGCGCCCTGTGTCGGCAACGCAGCCAGTCGTTAATGACGGAGCAGAGGAAAGTTCTGTGAGTTACATCTTCACGATGTTATAAAATATTTATAAAATTGGAATACAAGGTGGAAATCGTGAATAAGCAAAAGTAGCTTTTGAAATTGCTTTAGGACAGGCCATGCCGAAACAACCAATCCACACCACGTCTGAGTACGTCTAACTCCGCCAACATTTCCTGCGGCTTTGTTACTCACTGAATTTAACAGCTGACTTGCATTTAGGGGCAACAGTCTTGGTAACATCGTGTCTTTAAAACACTGGAACTGCACTCAGCGTCTGACAACCTGAGACAGGGAGAGAGAACAGCAGGCTGCTGTACCTGCTACTTTGAAATAGTAACGGATGAACTCCTTTCACTTCTAATAATGCTAATGTCCAGGCAGCTACGGCCACTGAGCCACAGGCATGCACTGTACCAAGTGTCTGTGCGGAGGGGCGTCTTAACAGCTCCCCCTCCTGCCACCTCGCACTTTGTTTTACCACTTAGTCTCCTTGGGTCCATGTTTGGGCAACGGCATGGCTTCTTCCTGTCACTATCCTTTTGTCCTTCTGCTCAGGAGAAATGCCTATTAGAAAAGGGGACTTGAGAACTAAATTATGTTCGGATACAGAAAAACAAAGGTACATTTTCACTCCTGAGTGGTCCATACACTGTCAGGCAGCCACAGGTCTCCGGGTCCCACTCATGTAGATGTGCCCTCGACACGTGACATGGCAGGAAGCGTCGCCAGCACAGTTAAACAGTTTTTCTCTACGTACTGAGAGATACGCACACCAAGCTCTCGCAACTTCAGTGCGCGTCCGTCCCCATCTCCCCACACTCTGGGTTCCCCCATTCCCATGGCTCTGGAGGGTCCTGGGAAGGTCCTTCCTTCCTGTGTTTGAATACCTGGCCAAGTTCACCTTGGAGGTTCTTCTGGTCCTCAAATCCCTTAAGCTCTAACATTTCGTATTTTGTATTAGTGGAGTACCACTAATCTGCGTGTCATCCTTAGGCAGGGGCCGCACTGATCTTGTCTGTATAAATTCTGCACACGTGCTTTGGAAGCGAGCACACGGAAGCTCCGCCCAGTCTCCCAGAGCCCCCTTCTAAGCACTGCCCTTGCCCCACTTCAGCGGAGGCGACGCCCTCCTCCCCTCCGGTCCGGACGTGAAGGGCTCCTCCCCCACGGACTCAGGGCCTGGAGACGCCGCCGGTTTTTTTCAACGTTATTCTCTTTCCTTTCATCCCTCCCACAGGTACACACACGGCATCTATTATTTGTCAGGTTCTGACGGTTCAGTAGGTACAAGATGGTCCCTAACTCAAATTCAGGACACAGACAAATAGGACCAAGAGAACAGAGAAACGAAACAATACCAGCGCCTTGGAGTACAAGTTGACTCAGATGTGTGACACACACAGTGTGTACCCACTGACATTCACATCCACCCCAACCTACCAGCAGCGCAGGAGAAGTGGAAAGTTGGTTTCATAACTTTATGTTTAACACCTTCCTGGGTTTAAATGAGACTGGTTCTTTCATCATTCAGGTTCTAGGCATATTTAACTCTAAATGTTACATAGAATTATACACATCCTATCTTGTCATCCCTATTCAACAGGGCACAGATAGTCAGTAAATGCTTGGTGACTGTCGATTAATAAATGAAAGGATTATACTTACAAGCTGGACTGGTCAGCAGGACCTGGACAGGTCATATCTACGTACCTTAATATGAACCTACAGGTCCATGGAAACTCAGTAGAATAGTGTGACCTCTACCCAACCCGAAGCCCATGGCTGCGAGTCTAACCCCTCAGCCTCACTGCAGCTCATCTCCAAGAAGAGAAGACTAATCGAGTCTGTTTTGGAGACTGCCTTTGGTTACCCTCAGTCTAGTTCTCCAAAATGCCATTTTAAGAAGCCCCAGGTATACAGGTGAACAGCACGGTGGGTCGGGCTGGCTGCTGGGAAGGTGGACACTCACCTGTCCTCTCCCATGCCGAGCAGAACCACTCCACCAGGACAGAAGACCAACACTGTGTGTGCTGCCCAGGGCAGAGCTCAGGGAGACCATGACAGGGTAGAAACTGCGAACAAGTCCATTACAGAAGCGCAGTTAGCTTTGGGGGGCAACATCTCAGCACCATCCCCGTGGACCAGAGGCAGCTCTTCACAGTGACCAGGACACGGGCTGCACAGTGGCTGGGGCCTTGAGGACCTAAGGAGAGAAAGTGAGTAGAGGTGAGCATGTTTGCGTACACCCAGGTCCCAGCGAACTCGTCCCTGTGCTCACACGCTGGTGAGCTGCCCAGAAGGAGCCAGCCAGCTGTTGGGTCTGCTGGCCATCTGCTTAACCTGACGGTGCTGGGAGCAAAATCCCAGCTCTCCAGCCACTGGGGCATTTCCCAGGCAAAGGCTCTTGTCAACATCAGCTCACCGGCCGTCGCTAATGGGGACTAGCCAGGGGAACGGCAGGCAGATATGTCTACTCTTCTGAGAAGGAAAGTTAGTGTGGATTTTTACGGCTACAGACATTCTGATTCTTGTAACTACAGTCATGGCTACCAGCTAAAATCTCCAACTCATATTTATGATAAAAGTGGAGAGCTGACAAAGACCATGGACGAAAACCCGCCCTGCCTGACTGGTAATGCAGGGGCGTTTGCGTTGCTTCCAACAGCTTTCAGAGAAGGTGCATGATCTCTCCCCTGTGCCCATCCAGCCAACACAGCTCTCTTCCCCAAGTGTCTGAAGAGGCCATTTCTGAGAATAAATATCTGCAAAGCTTTCACAAGTTTTGTTTAGAAGGTCTTCATTGGCAGCCAACATTCCTTCTAACACTTTGTGGCATTTCCCTAAATATGTTTATTTTTCTAACTGCACAGATAAAAATAATAATGGAAAAGAGAGAAATAAAGAGAAGTGTTCCTAATTCCCAACCTTCTAGGCAGCCAAAATAAATATCTATTATAATAGATAGAACATATCTTACATATCTTACATAAGTATATATAAAATATGGCGTAATATACGAGGCGTTGACAATTTAATGCAGCAAGACAGGAAAACTCAACCACATTATTAAGCTTTTGCCCTTTGAGAAGCAGCATACTGTCCACGCTTGGTGGATGGGGGACCAGCTGATGAATCTCTACAGTGACATTTCTCACGCAGAGAACGACCAGCCAAGGACATTGCTCAGCGAGTCTACACTCTCTTCACTGCCACCTTGTTGCACATCCCCCGTCACTATCCCACTACTAATACCTTTTTTGTGTTTCAAGCCCCAAGATGGGAATTTAACCTGGGATCACGCTGTCTACTTGGAGAGTAGCAAGACAGAGGGACACAGCCTTTGGGAGAGGGAGGTGGGAGACCAGGCTTCCAGAAGACAGTAGGATGGGGGTGCTGCATGTTCCTAAAGCCTCGGAGCTGAGAGGAGCTCCAGAAATGATGGACGTGTGTGCCTGGGCAGCCAGGAACTCAGCGTTCTGAGTGGGAGTCTCAGTAAAGACATCGGCGCCGAAGCGTGGGCACAGAAGACCTGCCTACCCACAGGCACACTAACGTGGGCAGGAAGACCCAGTGCTAAGAGATAAGCCCAATGGCCTAATAACCAGGGACTTTACTCCCATTTATCTTTGACCACTCAACCCTAGAGTTCTTTTATGATTCCAAATGTGTGAAAGGAGCTCCCTGAAAAATGAGTGAGATTAGACTTCCTAACTACCTTGATGAGGGGACTGAGCCTCATCTACACGATGGGGAAGAATAAAGGCATGTGATGACTCCTTTCCCTGGGAGCCGTGGAGCAAGTCGAGCATGTAACACATACTTGCACATGTCACATGATATATTTTACACATCAGGTTACCCAGTGATGCAAAAGTTATTTCCTTCTATTTATACACATACTTAAATATAAAAATTTATTCAAGAGATTAAATACTCAAAAGTGAACAAACAAGTGAGTTTCACAGAAATTTTGGAAGAATATTTGTATAAGCTAGTGATCACAGTGTTTATATAGTTTATATAAAAACAAGAAATTTAGAAGTAATAAAAGATAAATATATTTGGTATATAAAAATGTAAAGAATTTGGAAAGACATACAATTAATAAATTAAAAAATGCTAGATTATGGAAAACTTGGCATGGGTTAACAGGTAAGGGGTTAATATCAGTAAAATGTAAATAATTTAGTAAAAAATTAATAAAAGAAATATAAAGATGCAATAGACATGAGTAGAAAATTCACAGATACGCAGATCCAAATGGTGATCAAACACATAAAAAGATGCTTTACGTCACTAGCTGTCAGGGAATGTAAAATAAAATAATAATAATATATTTCCACTCATGAAATAGTTTTTTTGAAAGGAATACTCACATGCAATTGATGTTGGGAATTTAAGGAAAATTTAAGCATATACACATATATCCTATAACCCTGAGAGTCCACTGTTGGGTAACCTCTTCTTGGCATGGAGGTAGGGAAAGATTACTTAAACAAGACACAAAGAAAGCTGAGATATAAAGAAAAATGTTGATAAACTGGCTACATTAATATTTATTTCTATATGCCAAAGTATGTCCTAAACCTGTTTAAAAGAAAAATCATAAACTGGAAGAAGATGGCTGCCCCTCAAAACATGATCAAAAGATTAATATCCAGAAATATTTATTTTATCTATATGAAATGGCCAATACTGAAACATTTTTCACCTATAAAAATGGAATCTCATATAATTTAAACTAAGAGCAAGAATTCTCCCAAATCAATAAGAAAAAGACAACCAACCCAAGAGGAGAAAGATGGACAAAGGATATGAATTCACAGATGAGAAAAACAAAACGGCCAATAAATGTCTTAATACACTTAACTCACTAGGAATCTGAGAAATGAAACGACAATGAGACACCATTTCGTATCACGAGGTGGGCAAAGATTTTTAAAGCCCTGGTAAAAACATGGGGAAATGGGAATTCTTACTTTATACTAAGAATCGGTACTTCTTACTATATTTATAGAATTCTTAGCACAGTAAGAATATAGTAAGAAAAAGTGCAAACTGGTACAAATTTGGCAATGCCATGTGACGTGAATGGTAAGCACGGTACCCGACCCGCCAGCTTCGCAGCTCGGCGTGTACACTGACGAGAACTTGGAGCAGACCCGTGGAAGGAGGACCCGTGAAGCGTGGTTCGCAGTACTGAACACCTGGAAATGATACGAGTGATGCTGCGTCTTATAAGTGAATATCAGGTAACCAACTGGTAGATTCAGTCCGTCAAAGTGAAAGCACTGGAAGAATCTTAAAGACACAATGTAGAATAAGACGGCAAACTGCAGACGGATTCCTCAAGTAGGAGCCTAATTATGTCAATTGGCAAATCATCTAAAACTATATAAATGTAGTCATATGTGGATGAGAACAATATATGGTTGATTGAAGGTAGTGTTAGGGAGGGAAAGAAATGGAATAGAAAGGACCAAAGAGATCTTTATAATCCTAGCCTTATTTTTAAAAAGAGATAAATATGGAAAAATGTTAAGTTATTTTAGAAAAGATATTTTTCACTTATTTTTAGAGAGAGGGAGGTAGAAATGGAGGGAGAGAACAGCAATGTGAGAGGGAAACACTGATCGGGTGCCTTCTGCATGTGCCCCAACTGGGAACCAAACCTGCAACCTATACATGTGCCCTCACTGGGAATCAAACCAGCGAACTTTTGCTTTGGGGGATGATGTCCAACAACTGAGCCATACCAGCCAATGCAAAATGTTAATAATCATTGAAAAAAATAATGCTAGGTACTTCGAAGTTTTTAAATTATCATGCTTTTCCTGTACATTTGAAATACTTATAACAAAAAGAGATAAAGCTTCAAGATGTAAGTTCCCATGAACGGTGTCCACCAACGGGGTGCCGCTGAGGGAAGCACGTCACACCCACACCAGGCCCTCCGCCCATCTGCAGAACCGGGCTTTGTTTAATTTAACTATTAAAAATAATAGTTAATTTAGTGTCTCACATTGCTGAAGTCATGAAACATGGGACCCTATGATACAGTGTTCCAAAACTAGCTCGGTAATATTTCATCACATGGAAGCAGGTGACGTCACAGGTGAATGCTTGCCCACTGGCCTCATCCCCTTTGTTAATGACGCATTTCCTTCCCTCTGCGCCCTCCATGTCTTTGGAGTTTTGATTTGGAGAGTCATTTACCAACCTCCAACTCCTCTGTGGTTACAGCTGGAACCTCTGGGTCACATCATTTTGCAAGAGAATCGATTATGACACCAGGTCTGTGGTTTGATTTCTAATTAAACAGAAAAGCCCTTAATAACTAACTTGTCAGTGTGCGTGGGTGGCGAATGTCAGAAAGCACTCTAGGATTTCAGCTTTCTCCTCCATCATCGAGGAGTGTCCACTAGCGTGCGCCGCCATGTCCGCAGCACCTGCACTCGAGAGCTCAGTTGGCCTCCTGTCACTGTGCTCCTGGACTCCCGGCTGATGCCTGCCAGGCAGCAGATGAAGTCACAGGCATCCTCACAGCACCTCTGCTGAGCACCCAGGGGCTGGAGGAAAAGTACGGACAGCACATGCAGGGCAACACAGGTAACACACAAATAGTCAGCAAGGGGCCTGCACCTCCAGGAACCCAGTTCCGCTCTGTAGAAATTCAGCCGTGACGATTGGGGCATTGTCCCAGAAGTTATACCATTATTTGAAAGGTTCAATTGCATTCACATAGCTCCTTAAAGACATTCTGCCCTTTCTCCACTCCTCCTTTGGCTGGTATTTTAAGAGCTACCTCTATACTTTGGACATATGATATTCAACAACTACATAAGGATCACTTGTACATATGCCAAGCCATCCGTTGTCACCCAAAGTCTTTGGCATCTGGAAATAAAGTTCCATTTCTAGGAGGAAAACAAATGTTTTGTTTTTGTGTGTGTGTGTTTTGTAATGTTGAGAGTTTCTTCTCGCCACGGCACGGTGGATCAAAGCCTCTCCAAGGGGTGCAGAGACAATAGGAAATGATTTGAAGCTTCCTAGTAAAAGCAGGTCACACTTCCTCCCCTTCGCCTTCAACACCTCTGCGGGAGACACGCCTTCAGAAAGACCACTGCACACACGGGTTTCTTCAACCTGGGAAACAAGACTCAGATTGATAACCACCATCACGACACTGGCCATTTGCAAACT